AATATAAAGCAGACCAGGTGGATTGAATTGCTAAGCTTCTGTGACTACAGTACTGTACTATACTGTACTGTGATATACAGGTCATGATCGACTTTCTTAACAATTACTTTACTGTACTACAAATGGGAAAATTATTTCGATTCCAACTTGATCTATTTTTCATGTATCAATGTTTTTTTTTTCATAATAAAGGTACTGAACTGTATTATATGATTTATATTTAAATAGATGTTCTGTAATTACTGTATTAAAATATCTATATGGCATGGTAATTTTGTGTAATATTGAACCACAAACACAAGGCATTCTGAAATGCAAAAGCTGTGACTGCTGTATTCACAAGACATGCGAGAGGTCACAGTACTGTATGTACATACAAATTCTCATTTTAGATGTATTCAATGTAGTTTTCAAAATTGATCAACTTAAATCTCTCAAGAGTAAATACTATATGTTGATCTTCCAATAACAATGCACCGTACACTACTGCATTTGTAGCTGGGTTAACTGAAATAAATAAACCAAAATTAGCAAAATCTTAACCATCCCCAACTAAATTGATTAAAACAGATACACAAACCTAAAGAGAAACTGAAATACAGCACTTCCAATTACCCTTCAATAAAATTGAGTGAAACAGGCAAATGAAGGTCTACAGGTCTACACACTATAGAAATTCTTAATTCTTTATTTTCATGCCCTGTTACTTACTAATGAATTAACAGAAATGACCAAGATAAACGTACCCTAATCTCTTAATCATCAAATTAATTCCTAACCCCTTAAATGTAATAATATATACAGTACATCTGTAACATTGTAAGTGAAAATGGGTCCCATAGGCATGTCTGTCCGTTAGGGACAGTGTGGATACAACACACTGTATACTAAGCCTTCGGTACACAAGGAGGTAGCATGGCCGGTACTGCTCTCGACCGCCATCACTTTCCCAAGTTGTAAACTTAGGTACCCATTTACAGCTGGGTGAACTAGAAGTGCCCAGGAATCAAACCATCCACCCCAAGAACAGGAGGTGAGCACTGTATCCACTCGACCACCATGCTCAACTGTAACATTAGGTCAAGATAAATAAAAGACACAATCCACACATCACACTTGTATTATAATATAAAAGATACATTAAATACATCCTGACTAGTGAAATACATTAAACAGCCTCTGAATATAAAGTGGTTCACACAAACGGCACTATGGAGGCAGTGCCATTGGAGAAGGCGGAAGAAACGTGGCACGAACAGTGAATATAAGCCATCTATGGCTCTTTGGTAAGGTCTGACTTCCTGTTTCGTGCAGGGAGGTGTCATTTACTTGCAAATTTCTCGCAAAGGAATTTTTCAGTTTTTACTGAAGGATTGTAATACAATACATTGTTGCATTTGTGAAAAACTTAGCAAGATGTCCTCCACAAGAACAACTTCAGGACCACAACCACTTTGGCATTGCATGCACGAGTTATGTGGTCTATCCGAGGTTCTGGAGGATTTTTGCTTATATGTACCATCAAAACAGCTACATACAGGACCCTGTTAACCATACATTTGACTAATACAGACTCAATTAACCAGAAATTTGATTATCCAGAGCATAATTAGGCAAAATACTGTCCATGAGATCATGTTCTGAAATGTGAAGAGTTCTGCATTTAGTATATTGTATATTAATATGTATATTTTACCTTAACAGCATCATAAAACCACGAATCATTACATATACACCACTATACTGTATAATGTCCTGGATGATCAGTATTCTGATTAATTCTGCACTGGTAACACAAGTACTAATGAGTGTTTGCATGTAGGGTAATCCTTCAATGTTTACTTTAATAAATATCTTGTTATTTATCCAAGATGACTTGCTGGTTTGCCAAAATTGAAAATTATTAGATAAAATGTGTAATTACAGGGATATAAAATATATAATATTTATATCTATAATTATAGAATTTTCTTTTTTAAATAATTTGTTGGGAGCAACTTGGAAAAAAAGGAACCCATTTTTGGAAAACACCCAACATAATTACGTATAATAAATAGAGAATTTCCACTGCGAAGCTCCAACTGTATGACTCCAGCCAATGCTAACAAAGTATAAGTAAGTAAAAGACATGATAATCCACAATATTTGTACCCTACAATCAAATTAAATACCAACTAAAATCACAACTCTACTACAGTACACGCAAACACATGCACGCACGTACCCAACAATCCCAAATAAATGAACAATAAATACATGTGAGACTAATCAACACACAGAGTAAAATATCCAGTTGTCCTGTTTGATATTGTTTAAATACATTATGGTCGTACCTGTGGCATCCCCAGAGTCACAGAGAGGATTACACTCTACAGACAAGTTACAAATGAGACCATTAATAATGACTTGACCTTGAACCTTTGGAGTCTTCATGAAAATACTTAAATATTCTGGTGGTGTACAGGATTCAATATTCCTTCAATACAGCTAGACATTGTGAATTTTATTTCTTGACCAATAGAACAAATGCCTCTATGAAAATGGGAAAAACATTATCAAAATTTTAAGATTTATAGAATCAGTGAAGGTTAATAAAGATTAAATAAATAAATAAGACCTTCATTGAGCACATCACGTGCATACCACTAAATATGCACACCTTACCTGAAGCATTGTCATGCCATTTAGAAATAACTGTGATTATCATTACAGCTCAAATCTGCAGTAGGGTATTCATGGGATTATCAGGTAGCTATGTACTGGGGAAAAACAAAGAATGATTGATCCATTTACTTCAATTCCCATGATTACTACTACAAATTATCATGCAGGATAATGCTTCAGAAGTTATCTTCTTACACCTGACTTTGTTGTGAGTGTAGGCATATATGAAGTCTCTTGGTTATTGTAATATCTATGACCTTGATATATAGCATATATCCAGAATGCACACCTCATTACCATTATATCATCCTACAATCATAGCAAATTTCTTGTGCAACACACAGAAAAACGTGTTATCGCAATTCTTAAAGCTTAAAATGCCAGGCTTGTTACCACCAAACTACAAATGGGAAAAATAACCACATGGGTCTCTTAGAAAAGCCCTCATATAAAAGCACAGTTAATCTTGAGCTGGTATTCTAATAATAACTTGCAATTCTCTTCTTGCTCCATCACATGAGTGTTATTCTATAACCTAGAATTTCACCTTTAATTTAAATTTATAAGGCATTAGAATTTTTTTATGAAAAATGCCAGCAAACCTTTTAATAACAAAATTGATAATTAAAGTCAGGAAGCCTTTGGAAAAATACCACACTCTGACTCCAGAACTACGATATACAGCCAAAAAACCACTTGAGCCTTCACACTAATAATATACAATGGAAAAGGATCCTTATGGGTATCCCATCTAAGGCTGAAAATTGCAGGTCACATTTGTAAACCCAGCAGCTCCTACTCAGCTAAGGACCTAGTAATGTAAGTAAGGCACATCACGAGCTGCAGGTATTAGAAGAAAACACAAGACAAACATCTATTATATCTACAATAAAAAAAATAGGAAAACAGGTTGCATCCTCAAAATGCTTGCATATCCTGGATTTGAAATAGATATTTTTGTCTCTTCTTAGTCTAAGGATGCTGCAGCTACATTAAATAGTTCATTTCACTATTTACCAGTCTAAGTGGGCACTCTTATTTTCTGCCTGTGAAACATGATTCTATTAGAGTGCGTTCTTGTTACATATAAATACATGGCCACTTGTACACTAATATAAATATCCCCACAGCAAATCACAGATATTAGGTGCAATTATTATCCCCGCTGCAGCAACTTATTCCCCAATACAGTAATTAAGTGGACAGTCAGAGATATGAAGTACTGTAAAGCTTTGTGGGTCTCACAAACACAAAAACATTTGGAATGCAACACCAGTCATAATTTACCATGTATACTGTACAAATTAACCAATCCAGTCCCACAGTGGTGCTCCTCTTACCTGCAGTAAGTACTGTACACTGTATGATAGCATTCTTTATTATTGTGAACATTTGTCTCCGAGCTACACTGCATTGTCAATTATATTAATTTTGCACTACTGACCTTATATATATATATATATATATATATATATATATATATATATATATATATATATATATATATATATATATATATATATATATATATATATATATATATATATATATACAGTGAACCCTCACTTTACGAGGTCAATTGAACCCATGGCGGCCCGCGTAAAGTGAGAAACGCGTAAAGTGAACAATATAACATATGGGATTAATTGAAATAGAGACCGGGCCGACCCCCAAACTCCACTTTTTCAGAAACAATACCTACGTTGTAGTAAAAATAACTTCTTAATTTTATGATGGTATGCACACACAATTAATAATTAAGAGAAATATCAATAATATTAGGTTTTTTAACACTTACATTTGTAGAAAAGATGGCTGGGCACACGGGGATAGGGTGTTGGTTCCGAGGCAGAGGGCAGATTATTGGCCCTCACCTGTATCACTTGTATCAATTGTATCACTATCCACCACAGAGGCTTGCAGGGCCTCTTTGTCAAACCCCTCAAAGTCCATGTAAGTCCATATCCTCACTATCACTGACTTGGGCCGGCTGTGGTGGGTGGCGGGTGAAGAACTCGGTAATGTTTTGATGACTGGGCGACCTTGTGCGCATCCTGCTCGCGCCACTCTCCGTAAAAGGGTACACACACCGCAGAAAATGAGCATTCCGTGTTCGGCAGGGTACCGCGTAAACGTGGAAACGCGTAAAGTGGGACCGCGTAAAGCCAGGGTTGAATGTATGTATATGTATGTATATATATATATATATGTATATATATATATATATATATATATATATATATATATATATATATATATATATATATATATATATATATATATATATATATATATATATATATATATAAATATATATATATATATATATACACACACACACACACACTTTTAAAGTAGCGTTATGCAAAGACGTGTATACAATTAATAAAGATTCTATCTAGTATCGGTTGATGAAATAAATGACAATTACCGGACAGTACTTCCCTTATAACTCCATATCTCTTTAAATCTTAGGGGCAGATCCAGTGGGGGCCAAGACACCACCTTTTAATATACAGTAAGACATCTATATACAGTATATTCTTTGCCTTTCAAAATGCAGAAAATACCATCATCTGGGTACCATTTTGTAAATACTTTCTCAACATGATCAAAGTATCCATGGTATGTTAAAACAAATATAAAAGTTATCTTTATACAAATTTTGAAATGATGCCTACATAGGCTTGAAATTTTATTTCTAGTTTTCAGTCTTAGGTCCAGGCATTTAATTGCCTTTATCTAAAACATGTATAGTGAAGGTGGGATTTGGTTGAAGAAACAAAGTACTGTACTGATACACACCATATTCTGCATCTGAATCCCCTGATTTGGGGAATGCTGCATCTGCCCCTGAAGCTAAATAATGAATTATGAGATGTTGATTTCAATGCTTGTCAAGTTGTCTCACATAGCAATTGATACATCACATCATTAATAGATGAAACTAAAAAAGTCATTTATGGTATATGTCAATAGAAATAAAAATCCCTGGGGGAAATTGAGCTACCCAACATTACCACAGAGAGAACTAGACATCCAAACATCATAGCAAAAGTATTCATTAATGATCATCATCATTTTTAACACAGTATAAGGCCCCCTCATTAGTTATAAAAAAAGTCAACATCTAATTTTTACATTCTCAATGCTGGTATTCAATCAAAAGAAAATCTCAACCTTACATCAAGGAAAGTTTTAGATGGGAAAGAGGCATAAGAGATAGACACAGACAGATAGACTGTCAGAAATGTAAACTTGCATTCTCGTATGTTGTCTGGGGCAAGGCTACAACTTACTGAATGCAAGAGGTATGACTGAGGGTTAGTTGTGTTAGTATTTGCTATTAAATGAGACTAGATTACACATCTGATGTTAGTGAACCACATGACAACATCTCCCTAGAAATAACAAAATTTTCTTGTACAGGTATACAGTATATTAGTAACAAACTTATTTTCTGACTAGTCACTCATCACAGGATTCCCTGCAACTCATTATTTAAATATGGCATGATAAATTGCTTGTTAGGTCAAAATACTGGATGCATACAGTATTCATATGATAATGCTAAAGCACTTCCCCTACCACATGTGTGATATTGCTAATATCTTCCGAGGAAACAACACAACTCTGGTATTAGTCTGAAACTTCTTCCTAAGAGCATGAAACAAACACCATTCTTTAACGTTAGTATCAGTTTTCATCTTTGGAACAAACACCATTGTCTAATATTAGTATCAAATTTGCTTCCAATAAACAAACCCAAACAAACTGAGCAACAAAAAAGTCTTCATTGCTTTCTGCCTAAATATCAAACCTTGCTCTCCATTCACTAGACTAGTCAAACATCTAATAATGATCTTATCATATGCTTCTTTTTGCTGTACTGAGACAAAGTTGAAATAACATATCCCCCATCCTTCAATTCAGGCATGTGAGCATCAATTACACTACTGTATAAATTATATTATTCATGCTCCACAAGTTGATTTTACTGCCTTCTACAAATGCAAAGAAAGGGTTACACTCCTAGTGAGCCAGGCAAAATGACAGAGTGACTTTACACAGTACACAAATTCTGCCTTGACTAGATCCTGGACTTGGATTTTAGTGAGTTATTGCTGCCAACAATGTCTACACAGAAATATAATAGCTGCATAGGGAGGCAGTGTACTTCTGGCTAACAGTTAACTACTACTGTACATTGCAGTAGCAGTGTGACATACTCAAGATAACTTGTGCTAGGAACACCAGGGAGGATCAGTTTTCTTGAGCTGTGACTGTAGTTCACAACCTGGTGTAACATAAGCCTGTTACTTGCTGTCACTAAGTTTAATGTTGAAAAGTGATTATTCTCTTTAGTCTCCAAATTATCTCATTTTAAGGTTAATGTCCACTGAAAGAGATAGCCGATAATTTGTTTTCCGTGGATATATATAACTGCATTTTACATTAGTTTAACTAACAGTAATATTTTCTTTGATATTAAAATGACCAAAACACTACTAATGTAAGTAATCCTCTGCAGCACAGGGTTGTACTCTTTACATTTCACACTATTTTATAAGTCCATAAACTCAAAAGATTGATGATTCTTGAGCAATCGACACAGAACTTGTCTACATTTGGGGGTGGACAGTCCTAAAAGTGCTTTTATGAGGCAATATATTTATCTATTCTTGCAATTACTTTCATTTAACATGTATCACCAAACATCTCTCATTGTTTGGGTATTATTTAACACTGGAGAATAGAATATGTGGTAATGCCAACTGTGAGCTGTAATCCCCAATAGGCATAGATCTGTAATTGTTTGACATGCAAATTAAAACTGATTTAGAATGCTGGTAAGCATTTGAGTATAACATTATCTGGATTTTTAAGGCTCCACTTCCAGTGGTATATCTCTGAGTGTGCTTATGGTTAATCTGTTTACAATAAAAAGCAAACACCACCAATGTGAGGTGAGTGCAGTAACATCATCAGGTTTTGCTCTCTAAAATTGTTAGGCACTACAAGTGACTGTCAAAGTTGGTTTTAACTCCAAACTACCATAACATCATATAACTACCTGTAATAACTTCTGTCAAGTTGATACCTATGTATCCTTAAGGTCCTGAATATTTCATCATCAAAAGACTACATTTTAACTTAGCTAGTTAAGTACAATAGTCGACTACCTTACAATGTGGTAAGATTGTTTCATGAATCCATCACATATTTACTTTGAGGCACAGCCACATAACTAATATTACCATCTGACAAGTCATCGAACATATACACAAATGAATTTGGTATACAGTAATGAAGTACACATAACTTACAGCTCGCTTCCATTGAAGAACTATTCTGTGAACATAGGTATTTTTCTTGTTGAAGCTCTTTAGTGCCTGATCAGACAATACTGCAAAACCTTCACTACTGCCAAGTCCTTAACACATATCTATTAACAATCTTCAGTACATTATATCTATAGTCAATTTATATCTATAGTCAATAAAAAAGGATATTCAATGCAGAGATTTCTTAAAACACCTAGATTAGTGGCACATCTTGGGTAATTTATTAAATTGTATTCCCTCTTGTTTGTGTTCTCTCTCAGTGATCACAACCTTCTCCTGCTCTGTATATTAACTAAGCCTTAAACTGCCATAAATACACTGATGCTTCTATAGTATGTACACTCAGTAAAAAAAACCACTGTATAGGTAGGGTCCGATGATTTTCCAACTGAACATTCCCATTGTCTCGCGAGGGTTGGTAGGCCTGAATGTGCAAAATTTCGTACTTAATTTGGTTGGCCGAATTAAGCTATTTCATTGACAATATTGAATTACTTTGTTACAATATGACTGGAGAATGTCACTATATCTAGATAAGTTAAACTGTATGTTATATTAAATGTTCCACACACCGTGGACTACAGTAACCATGGAAGTGGATGAGTTGCCATAGAGGAATGCATCATATGTTTGGCAGAATTAGTGGATACAGTAAAGGTATAAGATTATTTTGCAACCGAATTTCGTATCTCTATTTGTATTGCTCCTTCACTTTGGGCTAATGCCACATTATGTCATTCTTTATTCGTATTGGAAAATGTACCAAGCTGTTCTGAAACATCTGAATAGCTCCACAGTTTCGCATACCGTCTAATGAAACCCGACCCAATGACGTTTTCCCATACGGTCGATAATTCCGGAAAATCTAGTACAGTACTGGGTTTACCTTTGTTGTGAGAAGCTATGACTTCATGAACCTTGTTTCGAGCACGCGCAGGGCTACCAATGCGAGGAATGCCTCAGGAGCCTTTTTGAAACACTTCGTTTGTAGTGTCAGTTGTTTTGCGCAGAAACTGTAGCAGTAGTTTTTTTACCGAGTGTACAAGCAAAAGTCCTGAGGCTGAAAATTTTTTATAGAATGACTGCAGTAAATTAATTCATGCTTATGAATTTTATTTCTAAGCATGGATTGAGTTCTTTAAGTTTGGCCAATATTTTAAATCAAGGAATTGACATCCTAATTACTGGTACTAATATAACCTGTGCAGAGGGAAGAAGCAACAGATCTGGTCCTTGATGCCATAACATTTGGGAGATCAGAATTTTCAGATACAGTACTAGAATTTCCTCTCTATAGCCAACCCTAACAAACTCTTCAATTGCATCCACGTCGCTGAATACCTTATGATTATTTTGTTGAGCATACATATACTTTAATTAAGTTTTCCTATGAGCAGTACATCCTTAAAAACAAGATTTAATTCTACTCATGTAAGGTGGTACAGTATACAGTGCAGGCAGTCCCCAAGTTACGACAGGGATACGCTCCTGGACCCTGAACATAATTTGATTTGTTGGCAAGTCAGAACACTGTTAATTCCATAGTTTACATTAGGTTAAAGACAACCCTGCCCATACAAAACAACAATAATATCCCATACATAACAAATACTATAAATACTGTAAATAAAGTTATGTTAAAACAATATAGTACAGTATAATGAAAATAATGTAAACCGTGGGATTTTAATTACAAATTTTTGTGATGTGAATGTAATATTAGGATTTTGTTCACAAGTGCGAATGATCGTAAGTCAGACAGTCGTAACTCGGGGACTGCCTGTACTGTATATACGATTTGCTTCTACGCTCCCCTCTGGCATCAACCTGTGATGTTTGACAGGAAATCCATGTCACAGAGGGTATGTACTCCCTAGAATTGTGAGCATGGGATATTGTTTGTAGTTTATTTTTTTTTATTGCTCCTCAAATTAGTTAGGCCATACAGTACAGGTATCCAACAATTGAAAGAACAAAATTAGCTTCCCAAAGTCAGACAGGAATCCTTGTTACCAGAGTGGGTTAAAAACCCTTTTGACTACAAGTTTTGCTTTCCACCCATTATTCCTCTAACCTCCCTAGCAATAAGGTAGTTCTTATTCACCAAACTGACTTAAAACATTTATTTCCATTTTGTGCAATTTTTTCTTTTCTATTCCACATAATCATTTCCTAATCCTAACTTGAGTATGCATTCTAACAAAAATATCCACTCCTTGTTACTCTGAGTTTCATTTTGTAAGTGCAATAAAAAGACAAAGGCTTACAGTAACTATGCAAAAGTAGAAACAAATTAGAAAAGTCTTTGATTCTTTACAAGTTATGCTCTGGAGATGTACACAAACAAGGGTGTTTGATAAGATTCTGTACAGATCATCCTAATATAAATTAAGCAATGATTCACTGAATATAGATACTGTATAAAGACACCATTCTACTCCTCAATGCATTTGTTAATTTATCAATCTTAATCAGAGAGAAGTTGATATATAGACAGATAAAGTGAGGCTTGAAATAGTAAAATGTAGCCCAAATGTACCTTGCACATAATCACAAGTTGAAACCACAGACAACACTGTGATGTTGACTGGGTGTGAGAAACTCAAGCAGGATGGAATACTTGCATTTTCAAAATACAATCACAAAGTCCAAAATTATGATGGTCTGGATAACGAGCAGGAGTGCATCCTCTGAAGTTGATAATCCCAGAGCAAGAGAACAATAAATGTATGCATGGGCATTTGCAGTCATTCCCAGGGTTTTACTCATAAGTTAAATTTATTAAGACAGGAACATAAAATTCATCTTCTTTCACTATATAACTTCACCGTACAGCATATAACTTTTTCCATTCATGTATTGTACTGGCACTTGAATGTTGTGTACAATCAACTGCTAAAGTCCGTTCACCTCTCCTCTTGAACCATGAACCTGAAGCAGTAGATTGATATATTATTCTGTCCATAAATGCTTCGAATTCATGAGTCTGATCTTGGGGTTCGTGGTTCAGGGGGAGAAGTGAACGGACTTTAGTAAATGACTGTACCTCTGCTCAAACCATTCAAGATATAGTGTGTGCCCTTGCATTCTCATCAGACTAGAAGCACTGCCTGCCTATGTAGGTACTCCTTTGATAGCCCAAATAATAGAAAATCACTGGCAGCAAAGTTCAAACAATATACAGTATATGGACTCATTAGGAAATAATTATTCTCCTGCTTCAGGATACTATCTTTCCTCCTTTGGCTCAAAAACCACCATGAAATAGCAAAATCTAGGCTGAGTCTCTTCTCACCTGCCTTACAGCCAAGACTTGGCTCCTTGAAATTTCCCTGCATTTGGGTATCAAAGTAGCACTTATATTTTAGGGCAACAATTCCAGTCATATGATGAGATGAAGACCCATATCCTAAAATGTTTCAGCAGAGCACCAAATGCTTTAATGCTGCAGAAATTCTGGTATTAAATACATTGATAAAGAAAGTACTGTACTGTAGATAGACATTATGTGTAGACGTATACTGTGTTAAAGGTTTCTGTCATTATAACTCAAACTTCAATGACCCAAAGTCCGTGAGTGAATAGCAATTCCTATAAGTTAATGTCAATCTGAGGCATCTTTGGCAATGTGTGTGTGTGTAAGACCAACTGGGTAACATGGTAAAGTATATGATAAAAAGAAGTTTGTTGGAACTTCAAAACATTTGAGTGGATAGCTGCTCCTGGTCTGTAACAAAAGCTAATACAGTAGGTTCAACAAGATTGTTAAGTAAAGTATACACAGTCAAACAATATTTAGTAATCCACAGAGGATAAGTCGCAGAATTGTAATTGTGCTGATATGTGTCTGGGATTTTTACAGGAATAATTTATGTCATAATATGTGAAATCAGATGGAGACTAGAAGGAGCATTTAAATAAACCAACACATGGAGGAACACAAGTTTGAAGGATACTGTACTTTTTTTACCACTCATTTATCCATATTCAACCATCTTTTTGTGCTTTCAATTGAAATTTAGAAAAAATGTTCCATTTACCACAGTGCAAGAGTGAATTCGTTGTTAGAGTTATGACCTGCATTTACAAAAATAAATTAATAATCCTGAGCCTGGCTGACCTTTGCTATACTTGACAACAGATTAAGACAATTATAGTAACCTTGAGAACAGACTTTGCTGGTTTATGTATAACTGACCATCTTCAGCTTCCCCTAAACAACTTAATCCAGAGTAATATTATCATCATCATCATCAAAACCTAAATCATCAATTCATTAACTGAAAAGTTTAAAAGTCTCCAAAAATATAAATGAAAGTTTGAGGCATAACATCCCCTCTTATGGCTGTAGATATGAGCATGTGACATGCAAGGTGTAACCTCAATCAAGCATCCCCCAGGAAAAGTACAATGGGTAAACAATTTATATTATTAACGTGAACAAGATTTTGGTAAAATATAACCTTCTCACCTAGTCAAGTCCTGATTCAGTAGTTGTCTTTGAGACCATTGAGGATCAGTTACCGGTAAGCAGTTCTTCATTTACTTTGAAACCTAATTGGTAAACATAATATATCTGTTTGTAAATCTCTCTCTCTGGCCTTGAATTGGTTAGTACAGTAATTTTATGATTAAACAAGTTGAATAGTATCAAAACAAGAAATAATTGAGTCTACAGTATCTCTCTTTGAGCTTGAAGTAATTATATTATCGTCTGTATCAATATACAGTACAATACTGTATGTCTTTAGTTCACTACAACACTGCCCACGAATTAGGGAACATAATTCAATATAAAATACACTATTTCACTTTGTTATTTAAAAAAAAAAATAAAATAAAATAAAAAATAAAAATTGAATGAAACTTCCAAACTACCCTGGAAAGTGTTCCTACCAACACACAACACCCATCACTCAACTTCATACTCTAGCATGAGTGTTGACACCAACACCATATTGGTTAAGACCCTGTTGTGTCTTGCAGATTTACTGTGAGTTTTCATCTGTTAAACCTGAGCAAAGTTGCAAAAACGAGTGCAATTAAAGAAGGTCAAGAACGTCATTAACTTTGAAGTAAAAATGGGTGTGCTAAAGAGGTTTAATGATATAGAACAAGCTAATGCTGATAAAATCAGAGAATGCGATAAATCCACTATGGTCCCCAAAATACATTTTCTTTAGTACAGTACATTAAATGTCTATCCATGTTCTATAATAATACTTGGTCCACTTTTGGCAGGTTCGTCTTTATTACTCGGTAATATTCCATTGTTTTAGAGTGGGTGCTGGACTATGTATGCAAACTGTTCTGCTCCATGTTGCAGGGACAAATCTTCCACAGCCTGCAACCAATCAATGTCTTGGTTGCATCCCATGGCTCCATCAACCAATGAGTATCGAGTTTATGGTTGGATTCAGCTGCTTTCTCGCTCGGTCTGTGTTTACACATGTAACTTTGTGATTGCAAATTTTTTTATACATTTTCATTTTCTACATTCATAATGAGTTCTTCTGACAGTGATATACTGTACAGTTGACTGTGTCAGGCTACTCTCAAAAGAGACAGAAACATATGGAACTGTGGAAAAGGTGAAAATTATTTTGTTTTGTATATCACAATGGATCTATTTGTATATTGTTATAATTGTACTGCATGTACGATTCTGACATTACGACTTTACTCTTAATCATGACTCTACCGGTATTCTGAAACAAAATACTGTACTGTACCTTCAAAATGAGAGCAATTTCATAAAAATCAATAAGTATTTGATGATTGTAAGGGTACTGTACTTACATTTTTAAAACCTTGAAATATGTTTAAAAGGGAGACTGAAGTTTGGTGTTTTCATCACCACCACACGTTATACCAAATATAAGACAATAAAGATGAAAACAAAGCAAAGTAGCCAATAAATGGATACTGCATTTGTATCACTCAGAGCTTGTAAGGTGGGCAAAATAATGAACAATCTTTGAGCACATCACGGTCCACTGAAGAACCTAGCTGTCAGTGACTACCCAGTCCTTCACCCAGTTCTAGTAAATTATACCGTACATGGTGTTAGTATTATATGTCAAACAAATTGAATATTGCGAAAACAACTGAATTATGAATACAGTACAGATCATGTGCAAGGAAGTAATAGCAAGGATAACATTATCTTGAAACAAGTGCACAGGCTCCAGAGGCAGGTTTTATGTGAAGGATTTTAAATCCTTTAAACATGGAGCTTATAAATTCACATAATGATTGGTCAGATAGTCATAAACATACAGTATACTGTACTATACTGTACTTCACTCAGGGAAGGGAACATGCCAACTTGTCAAACTGAAGTCTCTCTTTTCAAAATATTAGAAGAGCCAAACTATCAAGATTTGTAGGAATTCTTAGAAAATTCTTACCACTAAGAATGCTTGCCTTCCCCACTTTATTTAGCTACTGTCATAAAAAAAGGGTGCAACACTGGGCATCAGTATGAACTGGAAAGCTGATCACTGAACAAAAACAACAATTACCTTGTTTTATCAACCCTTCAAGGAAGAGTGTCGTATTTAGATATTTTATTCTGGTTAAAGCCAGACAATTGTATTCAGCTCAGAGCAAGCCCTCCCACTCAATATGTTCAAAAATAAATGTAACCCCAAAGTCTGTTGCGTAAGACAGGACTGTATGATGGTAAATGTCAAAGATAAAAAACCCTGCAAGAAATATATTTCTCTCCACAGCCCATCCATAGTACAGTGTACAGTACTTGAGTTAGAAGGGGCTGACAGTTTACCTTTGAACAGGAAATTGAGTAGTGGAGGATGATAATCCTTATTGTTGGACAGGTTTTGAAATGAATGAGCTTCAGAGTCAAGACTCTTTTCCTGAATCCTCACCGGTTTCTGAGACAGCTAATGAAACTTGATCTGAAAATAGATTCTATTAAGTGAGATGGCAGCGTTGAGTAGCAGATTCTGTTGTCAAGAGTCAGCTTTTCCCTCGGGCACTGGCAGGTTCTGTCCAAGAGGTGAATGGCAGTGCTTATGTTGTACAGGTCAATATTGTGCCTCCATAAGCTATACTGATACATTATCTTTTGTCTCTTTTAAACAGTAGTGACTGACCCAGATGTTATAATGTTGGTTAATATTAGAACAATTACAATCCACCTCTTCTGTGACTAGGAAGGTCTGGTCTGAAACCTGGGAATACTTACTAACATCGTATGACACAACCCCATGTCCTTAAATTATGGGTCCTGTGTGTGTAGTATTTAAAGAGCCACAAGAGCTGCCAAAAGTCACATGTTGTACAATATAAGCAAACTCTTAATGGCTGTGAAGAATCAAGGTGCAGGTACACACAACACCAGCTGGCACCAAGCTCAGACAAATTATGTGGTACAGTACTGCACATTCTGTGTTTTACCACATCACTAAAATTTACAGTACCTGTATCAAGAAAAATTTAGGTATACATCTATTCTTCTTATAAAAAACTATGGGACCTAGACAATAACTGTTAAGATTATGAAGTATAAAACTGTTGCAGGATTGTAAGGTTCAATTGTGAACAAGGTCATCACCAGCAACACTGAGCAGTGGTATGTCAACACACAATGTGAAATGTTTCTACATTTGAAAGAGTTAACATGTGGTAAATGTTTGGTTTGCATGGCAATATTCAGACTAGACTATTATTGCAGCTTCATTGTAACATTTGTACATATAAAAACACACAATTACAGACACACACAGCACTCACACACATTAATTTGGTAATCATGTTCCTTCTGACTAGACACCACTAGGTACCAAATCTATAATCAATTAATGCATTCAAATAAGAAAAGTATGTTGTATAATAATACAGTAACACACTCAAGATGTATCTATAGTCTGTACTGATATGAGCAAAGAGGCAAGGCTTCTTGAAAATTTGGTTGTATACAAAATTCCTTAACATCAATTATTCTGTCATTGAACATTAAGGCATTTCAGATATTGTCAGTAGATACAAAATCTTTGTCTGAAGAAAGATTTGGGTCTGCCTCTATTACTTTCAGGCACTGTAAAATTTATTTCATAAAAAACACATCTACTTTCAAAATATATATAACCTCTGCAGTTGTGGAGCTCTTTCTTCTTAAGTGGAAGAAGTCAACACACTCCTCTTTCCAATAAGTAATATCAACAGAAAGTGTTGAAAATGTAAATCCCAACTTGCGATTTCCCTTTACAGATTGATAGAAACCAGCTAGCAATACACCTGTTCAATTATGATATTAACAATCTTCTTTGCAGGTGTAGCAGCTGTATATTTACTGACCATCATCTCCTTGAGAGCGCGAGTCCTCATCTTCTTCGTCTTCTTCCTCTGTGTCCTCAGCAATGACTAGCCCTTCATTGTGATCAGATGAATCATCCCTGTCTCCTTCATCTGGACCCCCATCCCTGCCATCACCACCATCATTCTCCAAACCATTTAGACCTGACAGTCCTTTCCCATCCTCTAAGCTCTCATCATTATCAGCTCTTCCTCCCCCAGTTGGTAACACCCCAGCCTCCTGTGCTTCAACCTCTGCGGGATGGTGCTTCCTGTAAATAAAAATTAAACATATATTTCAGTAAATCTACATACAAAAATCTTATCTTTAATTACCGTAACAGTAATGTTCAATATAAAAAGAGGAAATACATGAATACTTATTATCCCAATGCCACACTGTGGTCTCAGGTGTACAATGTCAATGTAAATTATCTCCAAACAACTGTATCACCAACATCCTCAGAGAGCCTAGTGTAACAGTGTTAGCCCAGTGATGAAGTAAGAGGGTGAGGCAGACTCAGCCAAATGAGGGGTGAGTAAGCATTAATGAACTTAAAACAGTTAGACATGCAGTTTCATAGCTTTCAAACAGTACTAAAGCACTACGTGAAAAAAAAACTTGCATACGGTATCGGTACTGACTTGAGACTTCACTTGTGATTCATAAAAAAAAATTGAGACTCACCAATGAAGACTTGAGACTTGATTTGCACATTGCTTATGCATGAGTTGTTAATAATTGAGGAAAGGTAATTGTTATTGCCGCCCTTGTACGCCGCGACCTCTGACCCCATCTGGCCGTGAGACCTGTGACCTCGCCAGATGTTTGTGGACACAGAACAAGTTTTTTCGTTGTAATGACCATAGATAGGGGCTCGGGACGCCTCTGGCTGACAGTATCGTCCAGCCCCTTTGAGTGTACACGCACTAGCTATAACCAGGAGTTAAGTGGAGCTATAAGCCCGCAAACGTGAGTGGTGAAATGTTGGGAACTACATACGTGCATAGTGTAAGGCAATTTGGATAATAACCATACAGAATAGTGTATTTACTAACTGACGTATAATGTATACTGTACATGTAATGGAATGTAACCAGTAGTTAACAAGTGTCTCACTTCTCCAGGTTTTAACCATATCAATCAATAAACATTGAAAGAGTCCACGTTCGGGGTTTCTCTCACCCTTAAGACGTGAAGTCATCTAACTGTTGAACCAATCGGCAGTTAAAGTAATTAAATAGCAATAGTTTCATTGACAGCATATGATTGAAAGGACACACACATCATGGTAACTTGGAGATTTTCAATAGATAATCTGCAGTATGTTGTTTACTGAATGTTGAGTACAAGGCATACAGTACATTTACAATGACAAAAACAACTGTCTATTCACCGAGAAATCAAATCAAATAAATGGATTTTGCAGGATTTTGTTTTTTAAACTACAACCTTCCACATTTCACCCTAAGAGGCATGTAACTCATACACATTTCCCACACCTACAAACCACAGACCAATAAGCTTCAAGCCTTTTTGAGGACGCTGAAGGAATGATATGTCCATCGTAAGCATAAAACCACATTCTTCAGAATTTAGTGGGTCAGAAATTTGTTCCCATACCTGGACTGGAGAGATTTTTCTCAAAATTTTCCGGAATTGCACATGACGTAATCAGAATAATTATATTAAAAAAAAAAAAAAAAAACGGTTATTGGAGAGTCTCGGGGTTCGAAGATTCTGGTTAATGGAAAGATTACTATGGCAACATATGTGGCATGCTAATGAAATAGACAATAAGTGTATTATAACTTTTGGATGCACACAGACTCAAACTTACCTCGTGTGAGTTTTTAGATTATCTTTACGACCAAAAGCAGCAGAACACCATGGGCAGGGAAAACGACGTGGGTTTAGATGTTGTTTCATGTGGCCGAAGTTTGCTATATGCTTGATGGTGGCACCACACAACTGGCAAGTCAGACTCTGAAAATTTGTCAATGGATGACGGATAAGAAAAGGTTAACCTATTGTACATATGAAGCGCTCAGGTGGATAATGACAAATCAACCAACCACCCTATATACAAGTACTGTACAGGTAGTACTGTACACTCCCAACTCGCAAATTCGTGCTAATTGGTAACCCACCGTGGCCGAATTTCCAAAAGTCACAGATTAGCAGAATAAGCCTTAAAAATATAAGATAATTTACTAAAACGCTAAATCTAAATACTGTATGCAAAATAAATCTTTATTGCTTCATAAGCATTAAAAACATAATAAAATAAACCATAAGACTAAATCTAATTTGCAACAAAATATTTATTGTTACTGAGGCCATTTGGCTTTATAAATAAATAAAAAGGGAAGTCTATCTATGCCAATAGTATTTGAACAACATAAAAGTGACACACGGTCTTTTCTTGCCATTTTATCAGGAAAAATTTTCTCGTGTGCTATAACAGCAGTTTTTTCAGGAAAACATTGCTATAGGAGACCTGTCTTGTCAGTATTAAGGTGCATCCATGCGTGTGTGCATTTTGTCTGCAACATGTGATCGACAAGACAAAATGAGGCACAGGGTTCCTATTCTGGTAGGGTGCGGCCGAGTGCAGTAGATCGGTGTTTCCTCTTGTTGATCACATGTTGGCGACAAAATGTACGCATGTGTGGACGCACCTATATAGATATGATTGGGATTAACACCCAAAATTCTAATTTTATCATAAAATTCACTTACAAATTCCTCTACTGCAAGAAGGTCTGCATCTTTTTTTTGACCTTAGGAATTTTATGCTATGATGATCCTTAATCCGCCACCACCAACCAAGGGAACAAAGGGAACACTGGGACAATTAAACAGCTGGTGAAGCTTTACTGCTTACTTAGAAAGAGCAAACCATGAACAGCATTCAATATTTTGTCTTTTCTGTGTAAACCACTCATACATAGAATGTAACCAAACACAAGGCTGTTATGTCATGAAGGGTATGGGTTATAAGCTAAACTTAATCTAATAATGCTACTGAATATTGAATTTATCAAGCTTTCATAAAGATTGCAATAATTTTCTTTAAATTTCAGAACAATTATTGTAATGTTTTTGGGCAGTTACAAAGTAATTTATATATTTTTTCTTCTGAAACGAGCACGGACAAGCGCAAAACACAGTAATTGGGTAATGGTTACAAAAATGCATGAATTTGGGGGGTCAGGGTGTATAAATTGCCACACGTTGCCAGAGTGTTAGGCTTTCAGTGTGGGAGGTTAGGAACATGGTAAGTATATCTGTCATCCAAGTATGGGTGAATTTGCCTTGAAAAACATAGGAATTTCAGCATTATGCTTAGCTTGGAGGCAAGAGAAGAGGGTCCTCTGACGCAGCCTGACAAAGACTAATGCACCTCGTAGCGCAGCCACCAGGGGCGGGATACTGTGAAGTAGGTGTTGTGGGTTTTAAAAGCCAATCAATATGCAGGAGGCAGAGGTGTATTCCCAGGGGAACCTCAGTTCCCGTGCCAGCATTCTCCAAGGAATTTTTGCTGGATTTAAAATTATTACCTTATTTATGGCCATTATTGTGTTTGCTATATGCGAGTGTTACACTAAATAACATTTTTTATTTTTAAAGTTTTAAAGGTTTTAACATTATTTTGGAAATTGTCACTTGACATATTACCATAAAATGGCATTTTGCAATACTTAAGTTCAAATGATGTGAATATTTCTTACACCACCATAAAGTACTATAGTTCCTCTATCAAATGACACATAAATAATAAAAATCATATGGTTAGTGACTGAAAAACATTACAATAAAAGAAATAGCAAAAAATGTTAGACGCAATTATCTTGATTCATGGTTTTGGTTGCTTCATAATTATCCAGCCGAGTGCCTCATATTACTGACAGGCTACTCTGGAGTGTGAACTGTACCTAATTTAACCCCTAGGTATTGTTAGGGTGTTTAATCGTTAGTTGAAATAAGCCTGAGTCTTCAGGTAATCCAACCAAAATAATATACAATACCCCAGGTACTCGACTTACGACAACCCGGACATCTGACCATGGCGAGTAAGTATAAAAATATTCAAATTCGTATTTTCTAGTGCGAAACGTTTTCGGTCCCGATACGACAGCGTGCGACTGGGCATACTCCTGGTATACAGCATCCACACCGTAGCCGGCTCGGTTGATTGTTTGTCAGTCATTGTTGTAGTTAGTGGTCGTGCCAATAGCGACAAAATTTTCGTTTCTAATTCCCTTTAAAATGACTGGCAGCAGAATTAACCAAGTGAAGTTCTCGTGGTGCTGAGAAGAAAAAGAGCCGTCAGTACTTTTTGATATGAAATGAAAATAATAATGCAATATGAAAATGGAAAAAGAAATTTATCAACCATTTAGATGCGACCTTGACTACTCTCCTTTGACGATATCAAAAATTTGAGAGAGGACAAGGAGCGAATTAAACGGTGAAAGGATCAGCACCTATAAAGGCAACAATAATAACGAAAAAAAGACAAGGTCCTCTTCATGAGATGGAAAAATTACTTGTGATGTGGATAAAAGATCAGCTGTAAAAGCGTGTACTCTTAAGCCTTCTAACCATACAAGCTAAGGCAAGAAGCCTTTTTGAAAGCCTGAAAGAGCAGACAGGAGATGAGTGTGACTAAAACTTCACAGCAAGTCATGGGTGGTTCCAAAGGTTTAAGAAACGTTACTGCTTGCACAGTGTAAAGGTGAGTGGAGAGGCAGCAAGTGCTGATGTGGGTGCTGCTGAAGCTTTTAAGGAGGAGCTAGATCGTGTCATCGTGGAGGGAAATTATTTGCCTGAGCAAATATTTAATGTGGATGAAACTGACTTACTCTGGAAACGCATGCCAGAACAGACATACATCCACAAAGAGGCGAAAACCATGCCGGGATTCAAGGAATTCAAAGACCGAATCACACTTCTGTTGGGGGAATGTAGCTGGTTTCAAGGTAAAACCCTTCATGATATGTCATTCAGAGAACCCAAGGGCTTTTAAAAATGTCAGCAAGCACACACACTGCCAGTGTTTTATCACAGTAACAAGAAAGCATGGATGACCCTAGCACTGTTTGTGGGTTGGTTCCTAAGTTGTTTCATTCCACGAGCCAAGGAGTATTGTCTGCAACAAGGGGTTACGTTCAAGATTTTAATTTTAGATAATGCTCCGGGACACCCACCACACCTGGACGACCTGCACCCTGATGTTAAGGTAGTCTACCTTCCACCTAACACTCCCTCTATCATCCAACCCATGGATCAAGATGCTATTGCTGCTTTTAAAGCGTATTCTTTACGTACTACCTTCGCTCAGGCTATTGCTGCTACTGAAGGTGAGAAAACGCTTAGAGAGTTTTGGAAGGACTACAACATTTTGCAATGTACAAAGAACATAGCTGCAGCATGGGATGAGGTTACAGGTCAGTGCATGAATGGAATATGGAAGAAGGTCCTGAAAAGATATGAGAACAGTTTCAGAGGATTTAATGAAGATGAAGCAATTTATGAGATTAGTAACAAGATAGTGCAGATGGGTAAACATCTGGAGTTAGAAATTGATAATGAAGATGTTGAGCAGTTGTTGAAAAGTGTAGCAGAAGAGCTCAGTAACGAGGATCTTATTGAACTGGATGCACAGAAAATTGCAGAGGAAGAAGAGAGACAAAATGTAAAAGAAGAACCTGCACCCCCCAAAAAGTTTTCAGTGAAACATTTGGCAGAGGCATTTGCTACTATTAATAAGGGGATGCAAATGTTTGAAGAAATGGATCAAAATGTTGAGCATTTTGCAAAAGTTGGCAGACTGATCCAAGATGCACTTGCTTGGTACAGGGAGATTTACGATGAAAAGAAAAGGCAAACTGTGCAGTCTAAATTGGACATATTTTTTAAGAAGTCCCCCACTGCTGTCTCCTCACGCCCCACCACTGCTGCCTCTTCACTCCCTAAAGATGATCCAATACCTTTAACAAGCAAGTCTGTAAACCTGTCTGAAAAAAGTGAACTTGATGACCCACCCAGCCCTGTCTCCTCTGCTTCATCCAGTTAATGTAGTCTCCATGCTTAATTAAAACATTATTGAGGTCCCGTGTGCATTCAGCTGACTACATTAAAGATAAGTGCACAGTAACACTTTATTCATTTTTCATTATTGATTAATTTTTACTGTACTGTATTTCATTTTAGAATTTCTATGTATTATTTTCGCTTTTTCGACTTATGACCTGGTCGTCGGGACGGAAACCCGTTGTAAGTCGAGGAAAGATTGTATTTGTAAGAACCAAGACTCATTTTAATTTTTACTAAAAATTACTGATTACTTGCTACTAGAATATGGCAATCCTCCTGTCACAGCAGTGTTCAGGTGGAGATATTTCACAGGCTACAGTACGCCCGGATAATTCACGGATTTTTATTTTGCGGTCCTCTATTATTTGCGGATGACACCCTGGATGTACCCAATATGTCTGCAGCAGTTTTAAAGTTGCTGGCATTTTCGTGGCCTGGACAAGGAGCCATTTGTTCTAGAGAAAGTAATTCCTTTATCTGTAATATTGTATACAGTAAAGCTCCTCCCCGACTTACAACCTACTCGACTCACGACCACCCGCACTTACAACCTGCCTCAGTCGTACCAAAATTTTTTCAAATTTCATATTTTTGAGTCCCAATGTCAATACACAGACAAAATTTTTGTTTGTAATTCACTTTAAAATGGCTGGGAAGCTTAAAAGTGAGAGTTTTGAGGTGCTGAGAAGAAAAAGAGACACCCATTTTAGATTTTGTATGTATTATTTAAGCATTTTCGACTTATGACCATTTCAACTTCCGACCTGGATTTGGGGTCCTAACCCCACAGAAGTCGGGAAGGAGCTGTAAATGTATATTGGCGTAGCATACACAAAACACAATAAATAATGGGAAAATCCTCTCAATAATCAGAACAATTGATAATGCCTATCGGTCAAGTCTACTCCGTGCTTTGTTATTAATAAAGTACAGAGTAGACTTCAGGGTAGACTGTCACATTTTTAATCAATTTGTTTCTGATTACTTATGAGAGGATTTTCCCATTATTATTTATTTGTATGTGTTTTGTGTGCTTTTCCACATACACACACATACCCTGTATTCACAATACAGGTAAAAGAAGTAATTGTCCTAAGGGCAAACATATAAAGGGAATACACTATATATTTCTTTGTATACAAGTAAATATGTACCTCACCCCCTGGTCAGCAAATGTTATTCACGGATTTGGCGATTCGCGGCCATTTTCAAAACCTAACCCCTCAATTTGAAGGGCCTACTGTACTCACTGATGACTTGGTTATAGAACACTTAATGGTGGCTGTAAAAACTCCATGCATACCCCACTTACTCGAGACTCCTTGTTTGTTGGTGAGGGGACCTGCTGCTCTTGCACAGTGGTTGGGATGAGGGGAGAAAAGGCCCTATCCTCAGCCCCAAGACTCAACATGTGGGCGTAGCTGGCCAGTAGAGGGTTGGTGAGGTCACTTACAGCTCCACCAAGGTCACCGGCAGTATCATACATGGGTATCAGAGATGGATCTAAGCATCTGTTGGTCTCTGTTGTAGTCAGGACATTGCCATCCGCATCCAACTCACATTTTATGTTTTCTTTTGGGATCTGAAGGCATTAAAACAAAAATGAGTGCTGAGAAACCTAGATTTTAAATTTCAGCATACTGTACAGTGTTTGGAGATACTATACAGTATCACTTTAACCTGTTTGTATTCAGCAAATGCTGGGACCAGACAATACTGCCTTAATCTACTGTACAGTATGTGTGTACTGTACCTACCTACCTTCCTACTGTAATTTATTGCCTAACACAACAAAAACAATATTAAATACTATTAAGGAAAAATGCAGATAAAACCATTAAGGAGAAGCTAAATGAAAGTTTAATACAAACACCATTTGCATAATATGCAGCAGCGTGGCCTTAAAGCTAAATATAGCAACTCAGCCCAGCTGGTACGCTGCCTCTGCTCCCCTCTCCAGCTCCTTCGCTCGTGTGCTAACTCTTACACACAAAAAAATGTTTATTTCCTTTATATTTGACCTTATTATAATTATTTTTGTATTTCTTTTTCACATTATGTTTGTAGGAGTGTGTTTGCATGTAACTGAGTAAAAAAAAAAAAAAAAAAAATGCAAAGAAAGTGAAATTTATCTACCCAAAATTACGAAAGGAATAATAACCATAACAAAGGTTACAGCTTGGCCTGCTAGCAAGAGGACTAGGGGGCGTGACTACAGAAAAGTGTTGAGTCTAACCTACAACAATGCCATCAGTGATGTTAAATGTAACACTTAAATAAGCACACCACCACATCAGCTGTGAATTCAAACAAATGAACTGAATAAGGGAAGCAATTACCTTAAGGGAGGGCATCAGAGCTCACCAAGGGGGTGGGAAATGGTGGAACAAAAGATGTTGGCTGGGGAGAGATGCAGGAGGAAAGGGAAGTTTGTTATGATCATTGACCGAGAATACATCTCTGCTCATATCTCCAAGATGGGGGTGAAGGATTTGAATTTTTGCCGGGACCCAAATTCCTATAAGCTTCAAAAATGAAAAAAACGTGTAAATTTAGGAAATTCGTTTAAGCAAATTTTCGTATCTCAAATATACATTAAATGAGGGATACCAGTAATAGTTTTGTATTTGTTATACTACTGTAGTAACATTAAATTTGAATTAGTAAATCTTGGGTTCATTAGGGGACTGCCTCTGATCCTAGGTACTGTATATCTACATGTTGAAAATGGCCATCCTTTTTCCAGCAATATTTGGTGATGTGGGTGCATAAGACCCAGTGTGAATTTTGGATAAGTTTTTGGGGAAAAGTGCGTAGTAATGGCAAGCAAATACAGTACGCGACAGTGATATCCCTGTTAGCCGGGACAATTGGTACAGAGCACTTCCGGGACAACTTTCTCAAACCCGGAAAAATTCCTTATCTCAGAATCTTTTCTGGTTACTGGGAAAAAATTTAGTGTTTAAACTAGACCTCTTGCACAGAGGCACACTAGCCCACTTCCCCAGAATGTTTCTGGGTGCTGGAGATGTTTTCCTTGAGTCTAAACTACCGGAGTCCGTAAATGCAGTTCTAGTTAAATTAGAAACTCCATTTCTTTACTACAATAATCCAGAATAGTTTATCTAAAAGTTTGGTTAAATAAATATATTTGAAAACTAAAAATCTATATGATATGGGTGTGAATGAAGCCGTGTGTTACAGCAAAGACTGGTATTTTCCACTCCCATGGAGCTGTGGGGGATTAGTGGGTCTCATGTACCTGACCTGACCTGACGCAATGTCAGGTGGAGGTAGGGTGGGGGATTAGTGGTCTCATATTACTGACCTTCTGATGGAATGTCAGGTCACCCTTTCTTGGCCAGGGGATTAGTGGGTCTCATGACCTGAAGATGTCTTGAATAAACATGAAACCTAAAGTATTTTTAGGGAGATTGTGATAAGTATCAGTATAAATGAACAAAGTTGTATCCCTTCAACATTACATTACATAACATTTTAAAATATGGAGTGAGAAAGCAGAAAGGTGTGGGTGATTAGAGAGATGGAGTGGAAAGGAGTGTTGCTAAGCACTCCTCAACAGCTGATATTTAACTCGCAGTCACACACACGAAAATTTGTCACACAATAAGACCCTCACTCCTCATGTTTGCCATCTTAATTCCCTTGTTAGGGGTGTGTGAGTGGTGTTTGAGTGCATGTGGGCGTGTGTGCAGATGTGTGTGTGTGCACATGCATGTGTGTGTGTGTTGCGGCGTATGTGTGTGTGTGTGTGTGTGTGTGTGTGTGTGTGTGTGTGTGTGTGTGTGTGTGTGTGTGTGTGTGTGTGTGTGTGTGGGGGAGGGGTGATGTGGGATGAGGGTGGTGTTCAAGGGTGTGTGGGTGGTGTTGAGAGAGAGTGTGTGTGTGTGTAGGTGGTGATGGTGAGGGTGATGTGGGATGAGGGTGGTGTTCAAAGGTGTGTGTGGGTGGTGTTGGAGTGTGTGTGGGTGGTTGTTGGAGGGTGTGTGTAGGTGGTTGATGGAGGGTGTGGGTGGTTGTTGGAGGGTGTGTTTGTGTGTGTGTGTGTGAGATGTAGGGTGTAATGTTGGGCTGAGAGTGTGGGAGTTGAACCTTTTTGGGGGGGTGAGGGTCGTGGTTCTCTCTCCCTCACTCAAGAGTGGCTAATTGTGATAGATGCATTTGATACCATAAGGATCCTTAATAAATTCTCTCAAGACGTTTCCAATACAATTTCCTTAAACAAAATGTTTTTAACGCTGAGACCCAGCCCACTTCCACTACCGTCTCTCTCTTCACCTGCCAACCCTTCATCGGAGACTGTGGATGATCCCAGTCCAGAGGTCATAAAGGAGGAGCAATAATATCTTCAGTATCATTTATGAGGCCTTTACAGCAGTTAATAAATTCTTTAAAGGAAAACTTAATAATCAGTATGTACAACATGCATGTTTCATTCACAGCGCTGTGTGTCAGGCGTGCATTCGTGTTTGTGTGTGTTGATGGTGCAATACTGGTGATACGAGCCATGTGGGGCAGAGGAGATGACACGTTGCTGTTACTGCGATCCAGTTGATTTTCCTAACATCACACCACATTCACTTGCTTTCTCATTTGATTTTCTTTCAGAACACATAATACAAATGTATAAAGTAACTGTATGTACAGTCGGGGTCAAAAGTCTTGAACACTTAGCAATATCTGGCATCTACTTCTGAGTTATACATATATGATTGGGATATATTAATAACACTACTTATCATCACATATTATGCCCTGAACCTCAAAATGGGATAAAACTCTCCTTAATACCAAAGATCTTCGGGTACGTACATGCCAAATACTGTACTGTCAAGTGTTCAAGACTTTTGACCCCAACTGTACCTGTGTAGTACAGTATTTAGAGGGCTTAAGTAAATTTTTTTGCCCAAGAACTTCTTTAGCTTTCGGTCTCTAATTTAAGGTATGATATTAAAGAACGCTATTCTCAAAATCTTACATTCATGAGCATCCCAGGAACCCATCCCTCATAAATGTTGAGGCTCTGTTGTATGCTATTATAAGCAGGAACTACAGTATTTACTCTAGCTTAAAATTAAATACAAGAACCTTATACAGTAGTACCCCGATTTACGCGGTCAATTGAACCCACAGGGTACCGCGGAAAGTGAAAACCGCGTAAAGTGAACAACAGAACATATGGGATTAATTCCAATAGAGACTGGCCCAACCCTAAACTCCACTTTTTCCGACACAATACCTATGTTGTAGTAAAAATAACATCTAAATTTTATGATGGTATGCTCACACAATTAATATTTAAGAGAAATACAGTTGCCAGGTTAATGTCCATTCAAATAATGGACTCAAATCCCTCCCTCTTCCCAGCTCACTAGCTCCTACCTCTGAGAAATGTTTGGGTGAAACTACTAGATTTTAACGTTTAGTAATAAATAATACCTCAGACTAAAGTTAGGATAATATAATTGACATTTCTAGATTCCTTGCAGGTGGGGTATTTTGAATGTAACCTCATATATGCACAAACGATAAAATATTTGCTTGTGTAAACCAAATTATTACATTAGATCTAAAATTTGTATGTCTAATGCAAAACCTATGATGTTTATATTCAAAATGATCATCATATTGTAAGAATTCCAGCAATGTAAATTATATTCTGGAGGGTAATTTGTATGAGTTTTATGAGCCAATAAAAAAAATTATACTTCACCGCCAGATATGAATAGATGCACCGTGAAAGTGAAAGTCCGGTTCTGGCAAGGTACCGCGTAAATGAGAAATCGCGGAAAGTGAAACCGTAAAGCAGGGTAATACTGTAATGAATGTGTCATTACAGGAAAATGCTTGTTGTCATTACCAGTACAAATACAGCTGCTCCTCGACTTACGACAGGGTTAGGGACCCAATTCCAGGTCGTAAGTCGAAAATGCAAAAATAATACACTGTACAGAGTACATAGAAAACCTAAAATGGGAGTATCTTTTTCTTCTCAGCACCACAAAACTCTCACTTTTAAGCTTGCCAGCCATTTTAAAGTGAATTACAAACGAAAATTCTGTCAGTACACAGCGCAATCACTAACGTTGGACCTCGAAAATACGTAATTTGACAAAATTTTGGCATGATTGAGGCAGTCGTAGTTCGAAAGTCGAGAAGTAGCTGTATTCATGTACGTCTGCATCCCCAGTTAAGAATCATCCCAAGCAATGTCGTATATTTCTCAATAACATTATTTCTCCACATTTTAGACATTGATACTAATTAAGATATACACTGTATACAAGAAATGTATACTGTACAGTACTTAGGCAATCTCTGATCATAAATCTGAAATAATAAGCAAATTAAAGCATATATTTCATCTCTTCCTCATACAGTGGCTGCGGATCACCTGGCTCATAAAATACTGGTTCACTAGGAACAAATTTCTGCTGCTGACTGTACATTCATATTTACATGAAAGACAAATCTGTTGTCTTTCAGAAAATTTGTCTCCTAAAAATCTAGAAACAAATATTCAAGATTTTTTCATCAAGTTTAAACTGAAGTTATGAGAAACTACATAATATCATGAATGCTAAACTACCAATACAAACATGGTGGTCAAGCTTACGTTTCCATCTTTCACATTCTCTTGGTTACTGGATGATAATATGTTAGAGGACAGCCCTTTCCCTCTCTTGTTTTCTTGTGGTTCATGATTCTTTCTTCGAGATGACCCTCGATTGCCTTCAGTGATGGTCTCCCCAGTATCCCTCTTGCTTGATGAGACTTTGCTGGGAGTGGAGGTAAAGAGAGTTCGGGGAATCGCAATGGATTGAGCGACAGTATGAGCAACGGACTGAGCAAGTGTTTGAGCAGCAGTGACAGATTCCAGACCTTCTAGGCAGGATCGCAACTTCGATTCTGAGAGTGAGAGGTCCCAAGTAGGGTTGGATGTCTGGTCTCCATCGAGGTTATGTTCAGGGAGGTCTGCACACCCTGAATCCATTAACTGTGCAAACCCATCATTACTCTTATTATTACTAGATTTGTTTATAGCATGACCATAGCTGTTTGCTGGAGACAACAAGGATGCAAAATTGGTATCTATGCCCTTTGACTCCCCATTATTGGTAGAGAGGCGGGGTGCCTTCTTTGGGCGAGGATTATGGCTGTGAGAAACTGGAGAACCTGGTGAAATAGGGGATGAGTCTCTTCTCTCCTGTGCTGGCATGTTGATCACGTTGAGAGACATCTCCAAGCCCTTTAATGCGCAGGCTCTCAGAATCTTGATGAGACCAGTCAATTCGCTATTGGCAACACTCACCTGATAAAAGAAAGTCATAAGATGGGACACAAGAAATCACAGTAACCTTTCCTAAAACTGCAGGTTTCAATTATTTATTTTCTACATTGTTTGACTGAAAGAGTGTCATTGCCTTTTGGTCAATCTTAATACAAAGTTCCTTCACTTAGTGAGCAGCACAGAGAGAGAGAGAGAGAGAGAGAGAGAGAGAGAGAGAGAGAGAGAGAGAGAGAGAGAGAGAGAGAGAGAGAGAGAGAGAGAGAGAGAGAGAGAGAGAGAGAGAGAGAGAGAGAGAGAGAGAGAGAGAGAGAGAGAGAGAGAGAGAGAGAGAGAGAGAGAGAGAGAGAGAGAGAGAGAGAGAGAGAGAGAGAGAGAGAGAGAGAGAGAGAGAGAGAGAGAGAGAGAGAGAGAGAGAGAGAGAGAGAGAGAGAGAGAGAGAGAGAGAGAGAGAGAGAGAGAGAGAGAGAGAGAGAGAGAGAGAGAGAGAGAGAGAGAGAGAGAGAGAGAGAGAGAGAGAGAGAGAGAGAGAGAGAGAGAGAGAGAGAGAGAGAGAGAGAGAGAGAGAGAGAGAGAGAGAGAGAGAGAGAGAGAGAGAGAGAGAGAGAGAGAGAGAGAGAGAGAGAGAGAGAGAGAGAGAGAGAGAGAGAGAGAGAGAGAGAGAGAGAGAGAGAGAGAGAGAGAGAGAGAGAGAGAGAGAGAGAGAGAGAGAGAGAGAGAGAGAGAGAGAGAGAGAGAGAGAGAGAGAGAGAGAGAGAGAGAGAGAGAGAGAGAGAGAGAGAGAGAGAGAGAGAGAGAGAGAGAGAGAGAGAGAGAGAGAGAGAGAGAGAGAGAGAGAGAGAGAGAGAGAGAGAGAGAGAGAGAGAGAGAGAGAGAGAGAGAGAGAGAGAGAGAGAGAGAGAGAGAGAGAGAGAGAGAGAGAGAGAGAGAGAGAGAGAGAGAGAGAGAGAGAGAGAGAGAGAGAGAGAGAGAGAGAGAGAGAGAGAGAGAGAGAGAGAGAGAGAGAGAGAGAGAGAGAGAGAGAGAGAGAGAGAGAGAGAGAGAGAGAGAGAGAGAGAGAGAGAGAGAGAGAGAGAGAGAGAGAGAGAGAGAGAGAGAGAGAGAGAGAGAGAGAGAGAGAGAGAGAGAGAGAGAGAGAGAGAGAGAGAGAGAAAGAGAGAGAGAGAGAGAGAGAGAGAGAGAGAGAGAGAGAGAGAGAGAGAGAGAGAGAGAGAGAGAGAGAGAGAGAGAGAGAGAGAGAGAGAGAGAGAGAGAGAGAGAGAGAGAGAGAGAGTAGAGAGAGAGAGAGAGAGAGGAGAGAGAGAGAGAGAGAGAGAGAGAGAGAGAGAGAGAGTAGGAGAGAGAGAGAGAGAGAGAGAGAGAGAGAGAGAGAGAGAGAGAGAGAGAGAGAGAGAGAGAGAGAAGAGAGAGAGAGAGTAGAGAGAGAGAGAGAGAGAGAGAGAGAGAGAGAGAGAGAGAGAGAGAGAGAGAGAGAGAGGAGAGAGAGAGAGAGAGAGAGAGAGAGAGAGAGAGAGAGAGAGAGAGAGAGAGAGAGAGAGAGAGAGAGAGAGAGAGAGAGAGAGAGAGGAGAGAGAGAGAGAGAGAGAGAGAGAGAGAGAGAGAGAGAGAGAGAGAGAGAGAGAGAGAGAGAGAGAGAGAGAGTAGAGCGAGAGAGACTGAGCAATTGTACACTAACACATGGGAAAAAGTTGCTTACCTCTCCTCGATATATAAACTCATAATGCCTCCAGCTCAGCTTGCTTGACGTCCCTGAGGTATATGAGTGGGTGTTGGGTGGGTAATCGAGTAAATAACTGGTGGAAATAAGGGGAACAAGCAGCCAGAACAAGCCGATGGGCGGGGTAGCTGCCACCATCACAAAGCAGTGTAACATCCACAAGCTGGTCCTGCAAGTTACATAATTTATTATATTACAATTTTAAATTTAGTAAACTCTTGTTGTTTGTAGGAGTTAGGTTCCAAGGAATGGCACGAATAATCAAAACCTCCAATAGCAACTTATACTACCTTAGTGCACTACTGTCTACCTACACCAAACAACCAACCAGCCACAGCAGCACTCATCCCCTCTTTTAACTTATCTAATAATTCAACTTTCTTTGTCAGGGTCATCACTGACTTCTGCCTTTAACATTTCACTCCACCAGCATCATTAGCACAAAATGCTGCATCACAAGCGATGGTTGAGCACGAACAGAGGAAGAGGAGACGCTGCGAGCGTGTGGGGTGACTCGTCGTGCTGAGAGAAAAGACACACAAGCTAGCCACTCTCTGATTACTGCGAATCTTCAAAACAGTGAATCACAAACCCATGAATGGCAAGGGTCTACTGTATTGTTTCCAAATTGGGTCTGATATGATGTCTACTATGATTCCCTTGTTTAATGTCTTTATCAATGCAATGAGTTAAGGGCTCTTATACAGTGGCCCCTCCATTAACGAACTCAATCCGTTCCAGAAGGTCGTTCGTTAACCGAAACGTTCGTTAACCGAAACCATTGTTTCAATGGGTTTTTGGGTAATTGGTTCCAGCTCACCGAAAATTTTCTAACTTCAACAAAAATGGCGGAAAAATTTACTTACTTTGAGGTGTGTATGTAGAAGGCTCCTGGATGATGGTGATGATGTGCATTTGAAGTGGGAGGTGCAGGAGGAGAAGGGAGAAGAGAAGGAAGTGGAGGTGGAGGAGAAGCATTTTACTGCTTCTTGGAAGGTGAGTCACCTTCCATGAAAATGTCAGGAACCTCTGGACTGACAGATTCTCCACCATGAACATCCTCTCTCCTTCTTGAAGTCTTGAACATCCTCTCTCCTTCTTGAAGTGGAAGGCTGAGGGATAGCATCTTGTTCCCTCTGCCTTTTACTGAAAAAAGTGTCAATTGTGGTCTGTGGGGCATCTGTCCTCCTCACCATTAACTTATGTTTAAAGAAGGAGACCACTGAGTCCTCAACATGACACAAAGTTAGTTCAGTTTTTTCCACTTCTGGGTGCTTTGAAGCCAGTTCCCTGAACTTCTCCCAGTAGTAAATCACATCTTTCAACTGTTTAGCTGACATATGGTCATCACTTTCAATTTCCTCCTCACCACTGTCAGCCTCTACCCGTAACATCTCATCCAGTTCCTTCAAGTCATCAGGAGTAAGTTCCTCCTCATGAGACATCACAAGCTCTTCCACATCCTTCTCCTCCACTTCAAGGCCCAATGACTGACCAATGGACATAATCTCCTGGTCCAACTCTGTGTCATCCTCAAATCCCTCAAAATCATGGACTACTGATGGCCACAGTGCTTTCCATGAAGAATTGAGGGTTCTATTGGAGACTTCTTGCCATGATGACACAATCAATTTTACAGCCTCCAGGACGTTGAATTGTGTCTTCCAGAACTGTTTCAGTGTTAGTTCAGGATCAGCGGAAGTTGCCTGGTGACACCTCCTAAACATTTTCTTCATGTACAACTTCTTGAAGTTGCTGATTACATTCTGGTCCATTGGCTGTATGAGTGATGTAGTGTTTGGAGGCAAAAACAACACTTTCACGAAGTCAAATTGATACTCCAAATTTCTGGCAAGGTCAGGGTCATGATCAGGAGCATTATCCATGAGGAGAAGAGCCTTTAAAGGAAGTTTATTGGTGGTTAGGTAGCTCTTGACAGAAGGGCAAAACACATCAACAGCCCATTCATTAAAGAACTGTCTTGTCACCCATGCCTTACGGTTGGACTTCCAATAAACTCCAAGCATTGTTCTTACCACTTTCTGTTGCTTGAACACCCTGGGGTTTTCAGAGTGGTAGACAAGCATAGGCTTCTGTCGGAAATCCCCTGAAGCATTGGCACCAAGCAGTAGAGTGAGACGGTCTTTTATGGGTTTATGCCCAGGTAAAGAGGCTTCATCTTTGGTGATGAATGTTCTTTTGGGCATCTTTTTCCAGAACAGCCCAGTTTCGTCCACATTGAACACTTGCTGTGGAAGATAATTTTCTTCTTCCATCAGTTTTTTAAATTCAACTAAAAACTTTGCTGCCCCTTCTTTATCAGCACTGGCAGCTTCACCATGCCTAACAACACTTAAAATGTCACTTCTTTTCTTAAATTTTTCGAACCAGCCTTTGCTAGCCCGAAAATCTTCACAAATGAAATCACCAGAAATTGAATCACCTTTCATCTGTTTTTCCCTAATCCAGATGATAAGTAACCTCTCAGTTTCTACGATTAGGGATCTACTTTTAAACACTCTTGTAGATTTGTCTCTAACGTTCACTTCCTTAAATTTGTCTTTTTGTGCAAGAATTGTCGACACAGTTGATGCCGACATGCCATATTCTTTGCATAGCGCATTTGATTTAATACCTTGTTCGTGTTTTTTTATTATTTCCTGCTTTATTTGGATTGAAATCGCTTTTCTTGATCTCTTAGGCCCCATGCTGGATTCAAACAATGGCAACACGTATTTTTCAAAGTTAAACTAGCTGTAAATAAAGAATATTTTCTTTAAAATAACACTGCACTGCACTATATATTGTCAATATGTAAAATAATTTTCAAAATGACCAATAATTTGCTTGGAAACACAGAAAAAAAGCGTTTAGTTGAAGAGAGTCTCAAGCAAGATGTTACCTCCAGTGAAAACAGAGAGAGACTAACGCCTGTTTGCTGTGTTAAGAGGCTGGATGCCGCGCATTAAACTAGTCACTTTACCTTCAATTATGTTCAATAATTGTTAAAATGACTAAAAAAATTGAATATTAAACTTTTAAAATTATTGAATAGTATAAACTTCTTGATATTTACTAAAATAGTAAGGAATTTAAGCCCTAGAACCGATTAATGTATTGGCGGACTGATACTAAAGCTGGTTGCCCGGTCAGTGCAAGCGAAAACATGTTGAGGTCGGTTCGTAAGAAGTTCGTTAAGCGAAATTTTTTTCGTTAACCGAATTGAAGATCCTTATGGAAGGGAGTTCGTTAATCGAAATTACGTTAACCGAGGTGTTCGTTAAACGAGGGGTCACTGTATATTCTAACACCCAAGTTTCCAATTCAGACAAAAATGTTTTTTCCCTTACTCCAACAATACTGTCCTTGAGGAAAATAAGTCCCAGCAATTTTCTTGTAAAATAAACAATTACAGTGACCCCTCGGTTAACGAACTCAATCCGTTCTAGAAGGTTGCTCGTTAACCGAACAACTCGTTAACCGAAACCATTGTTTCAATGGGTTTTTGGGTAATTGGTTCCAGCTCACCGAAAATTTCCTAAATTCAACAAAAAAGGTAGAAAAGTACACTTACTTTGAGGTGTGTATGTAGAAGGCTCCTGGAGATGATGATGGGAATTAGAATGGGGGTGGAGAAGGGAAAAGAGAAGGCATTGGGGTGGAAGAGAAGTCACCCCATGGTGCCATTTCACCCATAAAATTTTAGTTCTCTTGGTGCAATTCAAGATTATTTTCTTTAAATCAGCACTGCACTGCATTATATATTGTCAATATGTAAAGAAAATTTCAAAATGACCAATAATTTGCTTGCAAAAACAGAAAAAAAGCATTTAGTTGAAGAGAGTCTCAAGCAAGATGTTACCTCCACTGAAAAGATACAAAGACTGACGCCTGTATGGTGTGTTGAGAGGCTAGATGGCACGCATGAAACTAGTTTCCTTACCTTCAATAATTGTTAAAATGAGTAAAAAATTTAATATTAAACTTTTAAAATTATTGAATAATATAAACTTCTTGATATTTGCTAAAATGTTAAGGAATTTAAGCCCTAGAACCAATTACTGCACTGTATTGGCGGACTAATACTACAGCTGGTGGACCGCCAAATGCAAGTGAAATCATGTTCAGGTTGGCTTGTAAGAAACTCGTTAATCGAGGGATTGCTCGTTAACCGAAGTTAAGAATCTTATGGAAGGTAACTCGTTAACCGAAATCTCGTTAACCGAGGCGCTCGTTAACCGAGGGACCACTGTATTCTCTTTATGTGTTTGCCTTTAGAACAAACACAAAACACATAAAAATAAATATTAATGGTACTCTCACAAATAAATATATATATATATATATATATATATATATATATATATATATATATATATATATATATATATATATATATATATATATATATATATATATATATATATATATATATATATATATATATCTGTAATTTTAAAAGATTAATATTCAATTTTTTAGTCGTTTTAACAATTATTGAACAAAATTGAAGGTAAAGTGACTGGTTTAATGCGCGGCATCCAGCCTCTTAACACAGCAAACAGGCGTCAGTCTCTCTCTGTTTTCACTGGAGGTAACATCTTGCTTGAGACACTCTTCAACTAAACGCTTTTTTTCTGTGTTTCCAAGCAAATTATTGGTCATTTTGAAAATTATTTTACATATTGACAATATATAGTGCAGTGCAGTGTTATTTTAAAGAAAATATTCTTTATTTACAGCTAGTTTAACTTTGAAAAATACGTGTTGCCATTGTTTGAATCCAGCATGGGGCCTAAGAGATCAAGAAAAGCGATTTCAATCCAAATAAAGCAGGAAATAATAAAAAAACACGAACAAGGTATTAAATCAAATGCGCTATGCAAAGAATATGGCATGTCGGCATCAACTGTGTCGACAATTCTTGCACAAAAAGACAAATTTAAGGAAGTGAACGTGAGAGACAAATCTACAAGAGTGTTTAAAAGTAGATCCCTAATCGTAGAAACTGAGAGGTTACTTATCATCTGGATTAGGGAAAAACAGATGAAAGGTGATTCAGTTTCTGGTGATTTCATTTGTGAAAGAGCCAGGGAGATTTATGAACATTTAAAGGCAGATCAACCTGGTTCTTCAGGAACAGAATTTGAAGATTTTCGGGCTAGCAAA